ATATAATTAAGTGCTAATTACATGAAAGTTGTACATATTCACATGCACTTTCCCCCAGTGTTATTTAGCTTGAACACCATCCAAGTTTTTAACCCTAAAAGAGATTCTAACCAGGAAAGAATAATTGTGTTACACAGCCCTGGGGCTCTAATGGAAGGGCCCTACACTTAATACGTTAAGCCTGCTACTACTTTCTTATCAGTCCACCCTCAAGAGTTGTTGGTATTGTGGGTATGTGAACTGTAGCAAGCTGCCAGGATTTCTGACTTCAAATCACGGCTTCACTTTTAGCAGCTGACGTTAACTCACACCAATTATTCACAGTACAATGATTCAACCAGTTACACTTCCACTTGTGGATTTTGCAATCCAAAATTATCTTCCCCTTAAATCATTGAAAATGCATAAACAATAATATAAAATATATGCCTAAAGTTGTTTTATTGGTTTTACCCAAAGACAGGAATTGAACATGTTTGTTGATCAATGTGAAATATTCTGATTCTTTATACTGAATCCGAATAAAAAAAAATCAAAGTCACATATTCACAATAGCAACACATGTCAAATAAATATAACTTTTCAAAGCGAAAGAGAAAAGGATTTTTTGGCAAAAGGCCAGCTTGCATGGATTAAGGAGTCTTTGTCCTTTCTCATATGCATTTCTTCTTGCAAACTAAATTGACCGAGTCTGCTCCACATTTTTAGGAAGGAACATTTTATACTGAATGGAAAAAATGTTCTGCAGTGTAAGATAATTGGTGCAGCTGCATTTGAACTTCATCCAGATGGTTCACAATCATAAAATAACCTTGCTTTTTTACCATTTTCCCACATTCAGATATAAATACCTGGCTGCATGCTCCCTTTCATTGAATGCCTCATATACAGAAAGAGAGAGAGGGAAGGGAGGGGGGGTGGGAAACAGAGAAAGACACACACTTGAAATTGACACTGATTCCCGAATTGAGCTCTAAACATTCAGCAATGGCAGTGGGAATAAGATTACTTCAGTGAACCAGTCACTATTTTCCACCACTGGTGTACACTCACCACCTGAACTCCAACGAAGAAAGCTTCTTCTTCAGGGTTACTGTACATATGTACACACACACACACACACACACACACACACACGTACAGACATATACACACACATGCAGAGAGACTACTTGCGTTAATCATGTAGACTAGGTGAAATTAAGAGTTTCTTTAGTTTAGGATCTGAGATGTTTGTAATTTTTAATTTTGCTTTTCCATTTTGTCATTTTATATATTTGTTACATTTAACATTTGACACAGCTAAATAATGTCAAGATAATTGCACAATTTTAATTACAACAGCCTAACATATTTGTTTAAAACTACATTGATCACAGAGTTACATCATAACCTATGTTCTGACTTTACAGAACTTTTCCTTTGTACTTCTGTTGGCAAATTTGTTCATTAAAGCTTCCAACAGCAATTTGCTGACTGGTCAAATGTGCTGAATTTGTTTTTTTTAATTGGACTACATTGTCACCTTACATGACAGCAACCTGGCTGCGTTGCCAGCCTATCAATAAGCCATCATCAAATCTTCATTGGTGCTAGAACTATGAAGACCCAAAGTCACTAAACATGTTCATGCTATTTATAGATCTGATACAAACAATAGCAACTAGCAAATATACTGCTTAGTTAGCACTTAATTAGTTTGGTGGCGTCATTTACACGTCAGCGGCATATTCCTAATGATACCTCACTCAAACATAAAAATGGATTTTCAGTGAAAAATCAGAATGAAAATATTGTGAGTCTGTGAATACATCAGTTCAGAGAAAACAAAGTCTTAAGTGCCAATCAATGAAGTGCTGGTGTTGAAATTTGTTTCAGTCAAGGTAGTTAACTTTCAAAAGTTTTAGTCTTACTATTGCCAATGTAGTTTTCAACACTATTTCCCACTCTCCAGGATTTTTTCATCGTATTATTTGAGTAGTTAGCAAAAAATTTATTTTCTAACATTAAAATGAAAGCATAAGTTTTGATTAAGAATATAATTGATATATGAGTAGCATTTTAGGTAACAACTATCCACATGAATCTGGATTTCTCAGGCCTTTTACTTAACACACAGACAAAAACACAACTGGGCATGTGCTGATACAGACGTCCAGATTCCTGGTACACCTTCAATGTTTCAAGCTTTGGAAAAGAAAGGGAGGAATAAAAGGCCGCAAAAAAAAATTCTACAGTGAAGGATTTTAAATCACTAAGCCTCTTCTAATAGACTTGAGACTTATTGAGGTAGAAACCATAAAAAATGAAGAAGGGAAATTTAATCCCTGAAATATTGATTTGCACATTAATATCATATAGGGTGAGGGCAATTTGGCTTCATGGAAATGACACATTGTCGACCCTCAGTGAAGTCAGAACCAATCTTACAGCTGAACATGTCTGAATCTCAAGAGTTATTAAGGGCTTTCTTTCTTGCCTTTATGAGTTTTTCTCTGCCTACCAATTCCATGTTAAATGTATTATCTTTAAGAAATAATTGTAAAACCTCAGGGGTTTTTCCAGTTAATGGAAGGGAGGCTAAACCACATCAGATCCTGAAATGCAACATTAAACCTTTGCAATCAACAAAGCCACCTCAGTTCTGCTTCCATCCAGTGCAGGCTATAATATTGTTATTGTGGATAATCTAATTTCACTGTGTAAGTTTTAGCTTATGGTTAAAGTGCCAAGAGAATATTAGAGAATATATGAACTGATTCACCCAGTCCCTCTTATTTGATTAGCCATTTTGCAGCATAAGGTTTTTTTTTAAGAGTATCAATACAAAATTAAAGGAAATTATTGCATAAAACTGACGTTTCTTGCACCATTTTGTAAAACGCTTAACTGCACAATCTGAGCGGATAAGGTTCTAATTTAATTGTGGATGAAACATGGCAAACGTCAATGAGAGTACTGCATGTTAATAATCTATACAAATCTCATTCTTAATCATGCCAAAATGAACAGCGATTAATAAGTTAACCTATTGTATTTACAACTATTGCTACAGCCTCAAATATTTTATTAAGGTCATTGGCTAAACAATACCAGGACAAAAACAAAAGGTTATTGTATCAACCAAACTGTCTCTTTTGGCGTGTAAAACGAACGTTCAATATTTAGTATTTAGTGCCGTTCGATTGCGGAAAAATAATGTGCTGTTAACCCAGAGGAAAAGGCGGAAAACAAAACAAAAACGACTGGCACAAGATAGCGCTGTCGCTATATGCGTCCCTGTCTTCACATACATAATCCATATGTACGTGGCTCCATATAGATATGTATTTACAGCCACTGTAAAACTCATTGGATGAGTATTTTAGAAATACAAAAAAAAAGATTGTTTTGCAGGTCAACTTGCCCGTTTAAGTCGCACTGTGGGTATTCTGTTTCTTTCATAGACCGTAGATTGAAAAATTGAAAGCATATATTTCTGATGGTGACTGTTTCAGTCGACTAAAGACCTTTCGCAACAAAAAAAAAATAAAGCAAAATCTCCGGGTGCTTGGAAATGAATAGTTTTCACGCGACCTTTCCAGCCCTATGTTATTTCTGTTCCTAACTGTTATTAAACCTGGGTTTCGTGTGGGATATTTTGCCAGTTGTGCCCACAGTTGCTGCTGGAGTGATGAAAAGGGAGAGAGTGCATTACATACCCAGCCTTTGCTCTGAGTTTAAACGATCGATCCCCGTGTCACTGTCGTGTCCCAATCGCAGAAGTCAGCCCAGAACGAAAAGGCAGGGCTTTTTACACAAGCTTCAATAATAATCAAAAAAATATACAGAACACCGCGGCATTGAGGAAAGGCCAGTTGCGGACCGGATTTCGCTGCCTGGATCTCCGGAAAGATACTTAAGAGACATACAGGGATGAATCGGAATGGACAATGTGCGATACAAAATTGGGGGAACGAAGACTTTTCGCTCGGCTTTTGACAGTAGGGGCAGTTTCTGATTGTGGAAGCAGACAGACAGACAGACAGACACACACACACACACACACACACACACAGAGACTGATCCAGGGACTACGGAAGCGTGTCTGCTTTCAAGTTCATCACCGTCACCATGAAGTCTGATCACTCTTGAGAGCATCACCCTACCATAAACTCTCAACCTGCTGCTGCTCCTGCCTTCCTGCCCGGGATAAGCTTTGGGCTTCAAGCCGGCCAGGCTCTGTATGTGTGTCTGTGTGTGTATGTCTGTCTGTTTGTGTGTGTGAGACCAGCTGGCCCGTGCACCGCCAGGTAACCAAACCACAACAGCAACAAAAGGAGATCGAGAGCTGTTTCACAATTGGGAGTCGATCTTCTCGAAAAAAAATCCCAAAAATTAAAAGAAACGAGAATCATATCTTACTAAAGGTGAGGGGCGTACTAAAGGTCTTTGTTACATTTTTTTTAAAAAAACAACTTTTGCCACAAATCTTCTACTTTTTTTTATTAAAATGCTAACTCCACGCTTATGATTGTAACTGCTTCTGCTGGAAAGGCGACCGGCGGAAAGTGAACCGTTCAGCGCTGAAAGGATAACGAAATGCGGGGTTCGAGCAGCGTCGCTAGCTTTTTTCTCTCTCTCTCTCTGTCTCTCTCTCTCTCTGACCAGAAACTCCTCCATCCGAGACACCCCCCCCCCCCAAAAAAAAAGAATGAACAAGTTGCGTCTGGAAGTAGTTTTGACTGGAAGGCGAGGCGATCTGATAGTCAGATCTGTCTCTGATGTGTATCTACATGTCCGAGGAAAAGTCACACGATTCTACTTGTATAAACACCAGGTACGCAAACAGAGAGAGAGAAAATAAAACAATCCTCATTCAATCGCGTTTAGAGTCATCTTTTTTTTAAAAAAATCAAAAATGTTTTGGCGAGAAAGTCTGCACACAGTGCAAATCGCTAACACAGCCCGTTGTATTTCCAAGATAACACTAGCATACCGGTTAGAAAAGTGCAACTTACTATTTTCCCTCGTAGCCGCTTCTTCTTTTTTTGTGTGTGTTATAAGGACATTAATTATTGTCACATCCACTGGCCCCCCGATTGCTTGGAAAAAAAAAAGCACAAGGATCCCAGGCCAAGAGACAATGGGGAGGTGAAGCGGTTCTGGGGGCCCCGGCTGTATGAGCTCTCTTGCCGGCGTGCGACCGCAAACGGAAAAGGGAAACTGGAAATGAAAATCCGATATATCTTTATTCTGCTAATTATTTTGCCCTGTAAAAAATGGCTGATTAAGTTGAGTGCGCATGTGTCTTCATTACCGATGCACGACGGGAAGGTGTAATTAGCGAGGTGATCAACATTCAAAAGATTGGACTTGACGCTTTGAAGTTGGGAACCACGGTGGCCGCTAATGGAGAAGGTCCCAGACCTGACCCATTGCAGCTCCTGATAGGTACCCAAGCCAGTCAGAGAGAGAGAGAGGGATACACACACACACACACACATACACAGATACTCAGACAGAGAAACACACACGTACAGAGATATACACCACAGCTCCCGTATCACACACAAAGACACACAGGCACAAAGATTTTGAACAATCCGCCTCTGATTTAACACTACCCACACAGACACAAACTCCACTGTGGCACCGAAAGCGATTAATTCGCTCACACACATACACACACACATTCCCACAAACTCAGTGGATTCACCAGAACGAAATAGAGAGAGAGAGAGAGACAGAGAAAGAGTCACATCATATACAAAGGTCTACGTCCGCACACTGACTCCAAACAGTGGGGTCAGTTTTTTTTGTTGAAGTCCGTGTCCCTCCGTGTAAACCGCTGTGTAAATGCAATCAGAAGCATTCTGGAAGTTGGGCGAAAAGTCATCAACTCGCGAAAAAAAATGAAAGAAAAGCGAACCACTTCGCTTGAAAATGTTGACGGATATTTCAACAACAAAAAGGGGAAACTAATGATTTTTCGGGGGGGGGGGGATGCTGTTAATAATTGGCGCCGCCGATCTCAAATAATACCGTTTGCTGTGTGTGCATTTTTTTATAATCGGGTAATTCAAATAAAAAAAAACAAGGCAAATAAACACAAAAGCCGAATAAGGTTAAAAAAATCAAAATGCCAGCTTTGTCGTTTCCTCACTAATCGCTTCTTTTCAATGAAACACTACCTATATTGATTGCGCTGATATCTGATCTACTGATGTGACTTTGCAACACTAATCTATATGACAATTTCCCTTTATTTTAATGTTTGCGTCTATATGCCTGACTCCACTTAAACTGAAATAACGTGTGACTGTCGCGGGGGCTCATTTTCTCTCAGTTAGTTCTTAACAGTTAAAGCCTACCTTTTATTTTTTGCTCTCCTCTGTCCCTCACCCTTAATAGTCGCTATCGAATAAGACACTAAGGATGTTAATCGTTATGAGGGAATCAGGAGATCACCACTTATCTGGGGAAAATCGAAGACACTTTATTCAGAGCTGGGTTAGAGGATATGATAAGGCTGGGTGAGATAAAGTGGAAGTGTGATGGCACATGTTTCTCCTGTCCATTCTCTCGCCCTCTAATCCTCCCTCTTTCTATTCCATGTTGTTGTATGCTGAGAGAGGTCTCTATCGGGGTCTCCCTGTACGGTGGCCGCTAGTAGACCTCAATTCGCCTTCTTGATCTCTCCCCTTGTCTATCACATCGCCTCTCTCTGTGGGACTCTGCTCGCTCTATACCAACACATCAGCACTGCTCGAATGTTAGGGACCCGTGTTCCAGACTTCTCGATAACCCTCACTCCCACCACCCCCTCCCCCCGGGGGCTATTTGCCAAAGGCGCTGTGTTAACTCTTTCTGCAGCACCACCCCCCCCCCCCCCCCCGCTCCCCCCAAACAAAACTCAGTATCTGGTTCAAAAGCCGATAACAATCCATTGCTGATCACCAGTGGCCAACATACAAAATCACATTTTCATACACACTGGATAATGCTAAGAATTTTCTATTCATACAAAACGGTTTTCCATTTTCAACGATAAATATATCTATTGATCGGTTTGAACTTCCAACAACAAACTTGTCTCGTCTTCCAGCTACGGTTCAATCTGCTGGACTTTGTCGATCAGATAAATACAAACATGCCACACAAGAACAAAACTTTCGCAATAATAAACACTTTGCTGAGCGCAATAATGGCTGTTCTTCAGTAAATGTTTTACTTTCTAAATCCATTTAAATCTCAATCATTTTCACTGACTAAAAACGCGCTTCTTAAATTTCACAGCATTATCGCTCACCGTCCTCGATTGAATCCTCCAATTCTGTTTGAAAAGAAGCATTCTTTTTAACAGCTTTTTTTAAAACCAAAAAAAAAGTGTTTTACAGTACTTTTAGGATTCCATTTAGATACAAATTTTCACACGTTAAAAAGTAGTTCGTGCATTACCTGTGTTTCATCTCCAGCTCTATCAATCCTTTATTCTACAGATCTTTGTAATTTGATTTTAGGGATTTATTTTGTACACAATGTGGTAGATCTTTTTTTTCTCTCTCTGTTGAAGGGAAATGTATACGATGAACACGCCTGGCGCCCTCTGGGGCTTAAAAGGTCATCACTTTGACAGCAGGCTGACCATCATCTCCTCCCGGGTTCGGCCCATTGTTTATAAACACAGAAATATATCCACCATTTCCTATCGCTTAACAACAGAAATTTCACTTTCTTTCCGGGATATATCATGCGGTCCGATACCAGACGCAAACCACAAATTGTTCAACTTTTGTTCGGAACACAGACAACAGCAGACAATTTTTAAGGAAAATAAGCATTTTGTTTTACCTCAGGAATGTTATCGATCACTTCTTTCTTGAACACACTCATTTAAACGTTTGCCAAAATAAAACCCCACGGATTTAAAAGGGATGTCATCCCGAAAGTATCCAGCGCAGCAGGCCCAGTGGAAAAATGTGATAAATAAATTCGAGTCTGAGCGCTGCCTCTCTCAATGCGGACATATCTGACTTTAATTTAATATTCCGCAATCATATTTTATAACGCAAATAATTCATGCCTATATTTCCAGCGCTTTTGCTTGGAACTCAAGGATTGCACTGAGCAGAGTGTAATTCACATCAAATCTAAATTAGTACATGGATCATCCTACATTTATTATCACTTTACACTTCTGCTTACCGCTGTAAAACCCTTTTAAGCATTTTAAATACCTCACAAGCCAAGCTTTACATTTTCTGAGATCTCGAAAGAAAACAAATTAAATTCTCACACGACCAAATCGTTAAATAATTTATAATCGAGTAATATAGACTAGATGTACCCTATGTAAAACACTACCGTTATCCCATTGATCTGCTCCTGAATCGATTCGATAAACGGAAATCTATCAAAACGCTTAAACGTGACATATCATTTACAATCAAACATTTCCTCCCACAACGAAAAAAGGATTATTTCATGTGAAAAAGAAACATATTCTACTTGACTTAGTCTATTGATCATGGGAGTATAATTAACTTGTATTTATTATAAACTTCACAATTTCAGCATATATTTCCGACTTTGTTTTCAACAAATCCTACCTATTTGAATATTTCAAATCCCATTTTTCAAGCATCTAATTTTGCAATTCTGTCACCTTAAATCCTTTGAAAATTAAACAAAATTAAATGACCAATTTCGCAATATATGCGAAAACAATGCACTTTCGTTTGTGTCCTTTTTTTTGCAATATGACCCACAAATGAATAGCAATCTGTTTTAAATATCGCACAGTTTAATTGGTGCAATGGTATTTTTTTTAAAAAAAACGACTACCACGACATGTTAGCACTTTGGATTCTATAGGGCTATAAACGCTCATTAAATATCTTTGAACAATGTTCTGTGATGAAATGGAGACACACCACAGATTTATATTTGCTGTTCAGGATCAGACTAATCCCTGCTTTCCCCACGTCTATGTTAGATCCACAACACTATTGTTTCAGATCTCCATTTTTTTTTCTCAAAAAAAATCCACTAAATGGCGACTATCAAATTCTGACAATGTAAATTCGAACTGTTGCTGTACAATCGTTATTTTTATTTGTTAAAGAAAATCGATGAAATTGCCTCTAAAGTACTTAGTGAGGCGTGTTTGTACCGACTAGGGGAGAATACTAAATACAGTGGTTGGTCGATGAAAATTGAGTGGTTAGGAAATGTTTAAGTACACGCTCCTTAACGCTTGACTTGGTGACTGAAATTCTGCCGCTCTGATCTTTCTCACTCTCCCCTCTTCCTTTTCTTTACTCTTTTGTGTGCGCGCGTGTTTTTAACCAGCTGCTTCGGTTTTCGTCCACCTCTTCCCTCCCTTCAGCGTGAAACACTTTTCTGATCTCTTTCTTTTTTTTTCCCCTTTTCACGGACTTTCATCATTCCCAGTGGCTTTCCTTGCGCCTTTTGATGTTTCCGCGCTTCGTTTTTTTTAAAAATCTCTCTGTCACGCTCCCATCTCCTCGGTTAGCCCATAATTAGACCCTAACGCAACATTCCGTTCCATTACCACTCACTCGTTTTTGTACCCCTTCTCTCTGGCTTGGAGTAATTTTATTTATGTCCACTTTACCTCGAAATACTTATTTTTTTAATTTTCACTTTATTTCTCCCATAATGTTTTCAGCCTCCTCTCTGCTTGTCTTTCGTTGATCTGTCACTTCCCTTTCACGTTTCCTCCAACTTTCTGTTCTCTTTTCTTTTTCTCTATCACCACTGCCCCACTTCCATTCTTGTCATTTGTTTCCTCTTTTCATTTCCCATCCTTGTCCATTCTCTTTCCTTCCATCCAGAATCTTTGGTTCACTCCCCTCTTTCCTAATACTAAGACCCCACTCTCTCTCACGCACTGCTGTTTCCAGACGCTGCCCCTTTGTAAATTCACCTTTCCCCTTCTGTTATGCCACTTCCTCCACAATTTTGTCTTTTGTTGAGTCTTCCCTTTTTTCTTTCATGTTCACATATTTTCATAGACTTTCTTCTGTTTTCTCACTTCCTTTCTTAGTACATCCTTCAGATTTTCTCTATCTAATTAATAATTTAAACATTCCTTTCTTACCTTCTGCATTTTTTCAAATAGTCTCTAACTAAATAATTATAGCATACACCCCCACACATTTTCACATTATC